AATTCACAGAAATCATTTCTCTCCATTAACAGTTTAACACTTTCTGAGAAGAAATTACCCTGGAGCTCCAAAAGAATGTGGTCCCTTCCCTTCCTTCCGATTCCACAACTTCTGAGAAATGGAGCATCATAGCATTAAAGTATGAAGACATAAATTTAAACGGTGTTTGATTTTGGAAGGAAATGCTGAGACAAATGGAATGAACAGTATAATCTGTTCCAGTTGGTTTCATTTCCCCAGGAGAATGCAGGGGTTATGTCTGACTGTTCACTGCTGTCTCCAAAGGCCTAGAACGGTGCCGGGTACTCAAACATCTGTGAATGTATGAAACCAACTCGAGTCAGAAGAGATCAGAATGAGGATCTCTGGGTCCTGGACAGAGCTGGAGAAAAATGTAGAACAAAATTCTAACTCACGAAAAAAGACCAGACTTACTGGCCTGACAGAAATTGGAGAAATTCTGAGAGTATGGCCCCCAGATACCCTTTAAGCTCAGTAATGAAGTCACTCCTGAGGTTCATCATTCAGCCAAAGATTAGACAGCCCCATAAAACAAAATGAGACTAAAGGGGCACACCAGTCCAGAGACAAGGACTGGAAGGGAGGAGGGGACAGGAAAGCTGGTAATACGGAACCCAAGGCTGAGAAGAGACAGCATTGACATGTCATGGGGTTGTTAACCACTGTCATAAAACAGTATGTGTACTGTTTAATGAGAAAAATTTGTTCTGTAAACCTTTATCTAAAGTACAATTAAAAAAAAAAAAAGAATGAGGATCTCTGTGTTACCGCTGGCTGCAGAGGGCTGAATGAGGCAGTAAGATGGGTTGGCTGGTATTGATAATGATACCTTTATAATGGTTATATTCCTATGCCATATGAGTATGATCATAAAGTCCACATGGTCATTGTAAAAAAATTATAGTGTAGAGAGAATGATAAAGAATAAAACAAAATCCTCCTATAATTCTGTCATACAAGATAACATTTCTGGTATTTTTTTTCTTCCAATCTTTTGTCTGCACGCACACATAAAACAAAACTGGAGGCTTACATAGTACTATCCTGCCTTAAGGAGGCCTGGTAGTGCAATGGTTAAGTGCCCTGCTGCCAACCAAAAGGTGGATGGTTGGAACACATTCAGCAGCTCTGAAGCAGAAAAGGCCCAGCAATCTGCGTCAGTAGAAATTATAGCCAAGAAAATCCTATGGGGACAGTTCTACTCTGTAATATAGGGTCTCTATGAGTCGGAATTAACTCGAGGGCACACAACAACATCCTGCCTTTCTCAATTTTTTCCATATTATTAAATACACTTCAGCATGTTTTTTGCTTGCTGCCAATAGATCTTATTTTACAGATATAACATAAGTTATTTAAGCTATTTCTCAGTTCATGATCCTGACTGGTTTGGGGAGAAACAATCTTAGTTTTTACAGTAAAGAATATTTTTCTTCCTTCTTTCTGAAAACTTGCATGTTATTTTTGTTTCTGTCTTACTGCATTGCTTAGAACTTCCAGAAACCAAAAACCAAACCCGCTGCCATCGAGTCTATTCCAACTCACAGCAACCCTAGAGGACAGAGTAGAACTGCCCCATAGGGTTTCCAAGGAGCAGCTGGTAGATTCGAACTGCCGACCCTTCAGTTAGCAGCCGTAGCTCTTAACCACTGCGCCACCAGAGTAAGATTAAATAATAACAGCAAAAATATCACGTTCCTGATTTTAATAAACAACAGCTAGGTTTTAATCAAAATTTCTGGTGGGCCAATATCAAAACAAATACGTAATTGCAAAATAAATATTTAAGGATCTACAAATAGTATATAAGTTTGTACACATTTATTATAACAATTTCACATATAAATTTTTCCTTTTTACTAGATGATATATTCTTTAGTAATAAGACCAAATTTCAAATGCCAAAATATATTATTCCCCCCATCCCTGCCACCTGAAAAAAGCAACTAGCCTTCACTGAAAATAGGTCAAACTTCAAAAGGTTACTTGTAGCTAGTAAGTTTCGAATTGGAGAGAAAAGAGTAACCCCAGCAGAGTAATTTCTTCCATCGCTTCCAAGAAAAGGAATCCTTGCTGCCATGCGCACCCTAGTGGTCAGTGAGCTAACTGGTGGATTAGTCAAGTGGAACTAGGACTGGCTCATTAAGGAGTGCCACCATGAGCAAAGTCCTTTTCTCAAAAAGCACTGTTCTTTAGCTTTAAGCAAGTAACAAGACAAATCCTGAGACTAGTCTTTTTTCCAACTCATCACAGATGAGTTTCCATATTTATTCTACCACATGATCTTTTCAGCAAAGACAATAATAAATTGTGAAGGGAGAAAGTCTGAGTAGTGAGGGAACTCTTTTTTCCCCACTGACACTGAGCCGATTTTGACTCATAGCGATCCTGGAGCACACAGGAGAACAGCCACACAGGGCTGCGAAGGCTGTCAATCTTTATGGAAGCAGACTGCCACATCCTTCTCCCTCAGACTGGCTAGTGGTTTTGAACCACTGACCTTTCAGTTAGTAGCTGAGTGCTTAACCACTGCACCACCAGGGCTCCTTGAGAGAAGTCTAGACCATAACCAAATTGGGGAGGATAAGAGGGAGGGGAAAAGGAAGAGGGGTTACTGCACTGACTTTTGCTTTAAAAAAAAACAAAACAAAAACCCATTGCTGTCGAGTCGATTCCGACTCATAGCGATGGAAACATTGCGCTGATTAAGGGTAGAATAGCACAGCCAATTACTGTAACTGCTGCAAGTTTTACACCTCTAAAAAATTGAACTGGCAAAAGTTGCGTGATAGATACATTTACAACAACAACAAAAAAGAGCAGCTGCTGAGGTTGCTATGTACAAGCAAACACCTCACCGGATTTGGTTTCTTGGTTTGGAGGTTTAGGGTCATAGGTTCACGGGACATCTCCGTTAATTGGCCTAATACTGTGTTTAGTGCTTCTGTTCTATCTCCTAGCTCATTGTGTAGTGCCTGGGGTGGTAAAAGCTCACAAGTAGCCATCCAAGGCACAACAATTGGCCCCTAATTGCCTGGAGCAACAGAGGAAGAAGGAGAGTCACCAACAGGAGTAAGAAATGGAAATGTGTGGCTAATTGCCTCCATGAACAACTGCCTCCTTTGCCATGAGACCAGAGCTGGATGGTGGCCAGCTACCAGTACTGATTCTATAGAAGAATCTTGATCAAAAGAGAGAAAATGCAGGACAGAATTTCAATTTCTCATGGAATCCAGATATTCGGGAACCATGGAGGCTGGATGAACCCCTGAAACTATTGCCCTGAGATAATCTTTAAACCTGAAACCAAACTTATCCCTTGAAGTCTTCTTAAAACCAAACAAAAGTTTGGCTTAACTAGCCAATGTCTGCCTTGAACACTGTGTTGTTTCAAGATCTATCTATATGGGATCAAACTGACAACAGTAACTGGAAAGATTAATTAGGAAACTTAGGGGGCAGTGAGTTTATGTTAACGGGGGAGGAAAAACTCAGAAAAGGAGGATGAGAATGGTCAACAAATGTCACTGAATCGCACCTGTAGAAACCATTGGTGTATGTTCTGCTGTGTCTATTCTCAACAACCACAACAAAAAATAAATTATAAAACAAACTGGAAGGATAATTTAAAATTCTTAGAAACCACTTCATAAGATGCAATTTGCAGGGCTTAATCGCATACTTCCTGGAGGACACACCAAAAGGTGCTGTTGGCAGGGGACCTTTTATTAACAGCTTGAAGAAATGACAGATAGTGAGAGAACCCCTCTGCTTTATAAAGGGCAGATTGCCATCTTTTAAAAGGGAGGTCGAGGGGAAGACAAACATGAAATTATAGCCTACTCTGTTTTTCATTTCATCTTCAACATGTGGCTACCTACATCATACACATGGAAATGATGTGCAATTTATGTCCATTAAAAAGCACTTTGATGTTATTCCATAAGACATTGTTATGAACGATCTGGAAGAGCAGAAGGGAATACCAAACGGAGAGCTGTTCTCGGCAACACGCTAGAAAGAAAACTCCAGGGTGTGCAGCAAAGAGGTAGTACTTGCCTCATAGTTAACAGTCTGGGTTTTGGAGTTAGACTGCAATGTGGATACCAGCACTACCAGGTAAGTGTAAAGTCAGGCTGGTCAGCAAACTCTCTAAAAGTCTGACGATGGGGAAAACCATAGCTCAGGGTTGTTATGAGCAACAGAGAGGTATTCCATGTAAAGTTCAGATAGTAAGTGCTTAATACATGTTATCTGCCTTTATGATGGTGAGGATGATGATGACTCAATTCTATATCTACTGTATCCAATTCTTCTAGTCATGACTACGGCAAAGGAATTGAGTTCACGGTGATGAAATCTGCTGGTCAGACTCAATCAGCTGGGCTATTTATAATGCTAGATGACCAGGTTTCTTAAAGGGGGTCACCTTGTAACAAAGTCCTTGTTTTATTCAACAACTGAGAAAGATCATGCCATCTCCACGCTGCAAATCTTAAGATGGCTATTTTTTAATCATGTGATTAGAATTTCTTATCAGAATTAGGCTATGAAAGCTGGATGAGATCCTAATGGCCACCTGGTCCAATGGCTGATGAATTTGTTTTTAGCCATGAAATCCTCTTTTAAAAGTAATCGTAATCGTAAGCTCAGAATAATGGAGGATCTGCTTGCTCCAGTGTGAAGCCTAGGATTGTTTTATTTATTTTGGAAGGGGAAGGTAACACTCTTAAGATGCTGTTCCAAGTAAACCACCTATCTCTCTTGAGTGACACAGACACCAAAATGTCTCTGTAACAAAGAAGATTCCTTGAATTCCATTCCAGCCTGACGGTTCTTTACGAAGAACAAGAAGGAACTACCTGTTCCCACACACTGGTGCAAATGTAATTACTTCTGTTTTTATTTTGACAATTTTTTTTGAAACACAAAGTGAAATCTGCCACTCCCAAGAGGAGGAAGATAAGAAAGTAACTTACAATAACTTCCTTAAAGGATTCGTGGTCATTGATTGTCTTGTCTTCTGTACATCCAGACTGATTCAAGTAGTGGTAGTTTTCTGGCATAGATAAATAAAACTCTTCTATAAAACAGAAAAAAAAGGGTAACATTGACACTCAGCAGCCCAAGGTAAGACAAAATCCAAAGAGTTTTCACTTGGTGATTTGAAAAAAGAAAGAGTACATAAATCATTCTATACCCCTTACTGTCCTTAATTAAGATAAAAGCATTCCCTTTTAATCATAATCTGAAGAAAACATAAAGAATTTAAAATCAAACTAAATGGGATGGTGGAAAATAACCACTGAAAAAAAAGTAATTCTTGTGAATACAGTTTTATTGTCTTCTTCTACAAATCAAATGTTTAGAAATTAGCTTTACTTCTGCATGGCTTAAAGTTAACACCAGTTGCCATTCATTTTATATGCTTCATAAATACCTTTTAAATCAGAAATGTACCAAGAACTCCAAAAGCAAACAAACAAAACATTCAAGATTTCTCTATTGGTGATTCTCTGTCTAATGACTTGATTCTAAAATGGACTGTATTTTAGTACTCTCATAAGACACATCTCACTTCAACTGATGGAGTATCACGTCCAAAAGACAGTCTTCTCCTAATCAGTGTTTTTGCTAAACGGTCAACGAGTTCCTCACATGTGTTTCTCCGCTGTTAGCCCACTCACCTCTTTCTTCATCTCCTAGCCCTGCCAGCAGTGCATAGAATATGTGATAATTCCTTTCCCCAGGATTCTGCCTTACTACTCGGTTCTGTGAAGATAAATCACATTTACACTCAGAGACGTTTCCTCGGCTTAATTAGCACAAACCAATAATTTCTAAAAACTGATGACAGGGAAGAAAATGTAAATTAAATCATGTTTACTTACTTTTTCTAATAAATCTTCAGGTGAAAAGCAATGGCAAGTCAAGGAACAAAACAAGGACACGACACGCTCAATTTGTCTGCAATTTTCTATTTTTGCACATCCAAATCATTACAGCTCCCTGTACCTCTTGACACTGAGACTTCAGGTGCCAAAAGACAAGCTAACTAAACACAGGCTATTTCATCTAAATCCAGTTCCAAACATGACACATGCTGGAACCCTATCAGGGGCCAAATGGTTTAACAGAATGGACTTCGAACCATACATGTTGTGTGATCTGATGTTCGGCAATGAATCCAATTTTTTGGATTATGGACATGATATTAGAGATTTCCAAAAGGAAATTTGTTCTTTAGGTCATGGAATAATTCACAGGGCAGGCACACTAATATCAGAGCAATCACTACATAGAACCAGAGAAAAAAATGTTTTGTGTTCTTTTTCTGTCTTATTTTTATGATTAGCAAGAGCACATATGGAGCCAAAGGCCATCGACAAAAACCAAACCAAACAGGATACAATCTACAATTCTCCCGCCCTGAATATTTCCCTTCTGGCAGATGTTCAGCTGAATAAATTTCCCAAAGCGACTGGAGTTGCTATTGTACACCGTCTTGGCATTGCCGAAAGCTTCCATGATGGGGCTGTGGGAGAGCAGAAAAGAGCAAAGAGTATTAATTAGCGTAGACAGAAAAACAGCAAGCGCTTCTCACAAACGGCAAGATAGGCCATTGCAAGAGAACTCTGAAACCACTAAGACCTATGGGAACTGTGTATTTTCAGATGTGACAGATTTTCAAAATACTTGCTGAAATGGGTTTTTAATGCATATCCATTTTGAATGAGTGAGGATCTTACGGCACGTTGTCCTGCCAAGTTGTCCTGCCAAAGAATGCTAAGCAGCATTAAGGAGACCACAATGGCTCACCCTGGTGCAAATTAGCTTGGGTTTATACATCCAAGCCAGGAATTGCACAGAAAACACCCCTACTCGCTTATACTCTAAAAAGTGAAAAAGTTCTAGAAATTTCACCAATTCATTGTACGCCTTTGGGGCAAGCCATTTAACTTCTTTGGGTCTTCTCCAATTGTAAAATGGGGTAAGACTAGATTAGAACTTGGCAAAATTTTTTTATAAAGGACCAGACAGCAAATAGTTCCGGCTTTGTGGCCTTTGTTGCAACTACTCAACTCTGCCACTGTAGCTTGAAAGCAGCCATAAACAACATGTGAACAAACTAGCATGGCTGTGTTCCAATAAAGTTTTATCTAAAAAAATAGGCTGCAGGATTTGGGTAGCAGGCCTTAGTTTGCAGAACCCTGGACTAACCTCTAAATAATAGGATCTCTCAAGTTCCTATCAGTTCTAAAATCTTATAAGGCACAAATCAGATATCAGGCAATCACATATTTGAAATAAAACTTCAGATGATACCTCACCACACAGCCCTCTCTCAAAGTTCTGAGGCTCACTGCCATAGAACGTATCATTGGTCTTCCGCCAATGAGAGGCTATAAAAATGTCATTATCAGTTTCCCTTCTGCTGCTCTGAGCCTCCAAACAGCTGAAGAAGGGGGCCTTGTTCATCTCCTTGTTAAGCCCTCTTGTACAAGTGGTTAGCAGGTGAAATTTCTCCCGATCAGAAAGCCTCCACAGAGCTCATCAACTTCATTCTTTTCCAGAAACTTCAATACTCTTCCCTTATCTAATCCAGGCCCTTTACAACCTCGTGAAGCTGGGGTTGAGGGCTCTCAGGTAAGAAGGAGGTTACAGACTATTCCTTGGCATCACTTGATCTTCAGCTCAAGCCTGGCCCAAGGACAGAGGCTCCGGAGCATCTTCAACCAGAGGGCATGTGGCTGAGGTTATCAGAAATTGCTATGTGCATCTCGGGACATTTTATTGTAAACGAGGAGTCAAGAAAAAAAGAAAAGAGACTGACTAATCTGAACTCCTCCTTAAATACGCCAGATCATGGAGAAAGTGAATTATATTGGTTAGAAATTAAAAAAAAAAAGATAAATACCTGCTTTCAAGAATAGCTTGTTCAACACACGATGTCTTCTCCTTTAAGGACAATTCCAAAGACTGCTGACTGATGACTGATAAAAACTTGAGGATCAACTTAGTGCTTTCGGTTTTACCGGCCCCACTTTCACCGCTGGAAAAGACAAAATGCGAATGTTTGTGCATCTAAGCAGAATTAAAAAAAAAAAAAAAAAAAAATCAGCTTAGTCAATACCACTCCAATTCCTCAAAGAAATCGAAATGTTTCAAAAGAGCTGAGAGAAAGGGCAGGATAAGTCTGTTCTATTGCTGGTCACTCTGTTTCCGGTATGATTCATGTCTCTGTCAGCATATGAGGTCAACAGAAAGACTTCCATTAACCCAAAGGGGGTAAGATGGAGGGTGCATTTCATGGAAGGTACGTTTGTTTTCCGTTCATGCATATAAACATAAACAGTGGCTGACTCAGCACAGGCACTCAGCAAATACTTGCTAAATGAATAAGCACATTAATCGTAACTTTCTGGGAAACTTAAAACAGGTAAATATGAAAAAAAAAAAACAAAACCTAAATATTACCTCTGGCCCAGTGGTTAAATGTTTGGCTGCTAACCAATAGATTGGCAGTTCAAATCTACCAGCCACTCCTTGGAAACCCTATGGCACAGTTCTACTCTGTCCTATAGGGTCACTATGAATCAGAATCGACTCGATGGCAACAGGTAGTAGCAGGTAGTGGTAAATATTACTGAAGGGACAAAGGAAGGAAACTGCAGGTACGTGACCCACACTAAATCATTTTGGTGTCACAATACAAGTACAAGGGAGACAGCAGCCAAGTGTCCAAGATGGAATTTAACTCTAAGTCTGTCTGGTTCCCAAAACCTCCAGAGCAGAGGAGAGCAACGATAGAGAAGTCAACAGGGTGTGAGTTACACCTTAAAGGACTGATAAGCATCAGTCGGGCAAAGAGGAAAGGAAGGATTCTGGGTAAAGGGACAGACTCTGCATAAGGGGACAATGAGTGAAAACACAGAGGCCAGATAAGCTGGAGAGGATGCGTATTGGAGCAAGAGACCAATGACTGGTTACATCAACTGGACCAATATTAGGCGAGATGGGGAAAGATGGGCTAAAGAATTGAGTTGGACGGCTCAGACACAAATGCAGTAGAGACTAAGCAAAGAGTGACCTCATCCAGGTCAGCTGTGAAGACCGGAGCTCCAGAGGTAATATCTTATATCAACTGAGGGGCCCTCAGGGAGAGATCAGCTATTGCTCTAACCTAGGTATATGGTGACCAGGTCCTGGACAAGTATAACCAGGAGATGGAAAGTACGGAGATGAGAGATACTTAGAAGGAGAAACTCCATCTACTTCATAAACAGTGAGACTTTAACTTGTATAAGGCACCAGGCTCAGTACTGTAGGGAGAACAGGGTGGGCAAAAAAAGAGGCAAGGAGCTTACAAGACAGGCAAGAAGAAAATCAAAGGGATAAGTAACAGTATGGCAACACAAACAATATCACAGATTTTGTTGTTGTTAATTGCCGTGAAGGCGATTCCAACTCATGGCAACCCCATGCGTGCAGAGTAGAACACTGCTCCACAGAGTTTTCAAGGCTGTGACCTTTCTGGAGCAGACTGTCAGGTCTGTCTTCCGAGGTGCCTCTGGGTAGGTCTGAACCACATTTAACCATTTTCTGACCCAGGGACTCCATTATCACAAGGTGTTGTTAGGTGCTAACGTGTCCTTTCTGACTCATAGCGACTGTGTACAACAGAATGAAACACTGCCCAGTCCTGTGCCATCCTCACAATCACTGCTCTGTTTGAGCCCATTGTTGCAGCCACTGTGTCAGTCCATCTCGTTGAGGGTCTTCCTCTTTTTTGCTGACCCTCTACTTTACCAAGCATGATATCCTTCTCTGGGGACTGGTTCCTCCTGACAACATGTCCAAACTATGTGAGACAAAGTTTCACCATCCTCACTTCTAAGGAACATTCTGGCTGTACTTCTTCCAAGACAGATTTTTCATTCTTCTGAATGTCCATGGGATATTCAACATTCTTCACCAGCACCATAATTCAAAAGCATCAATTCTTCAGTCTTCCTTACGCACTGTCCAGGTTTCACATACACACAAGGCAAATGAAAATACCATGGCTTGGGTCAGGTGCAACTTAGTCCTCAAAGTAACATCTTTGCTTTTTTAACACGTTAAAGAGGTGTTCTGAAATTGGGCAAATCTGCTGCAAAACATCATAAGGTAGTACATTAATAATTGCTAAATGGGAGAGAGAAAGAGATGAGCAACACATGAGTTCAAGGCAGAGCCTTCGCGGAGAGCAAGGAGATCTCAGAAGTTATCATGAAAGAGGAATTCAGCCAAAAATGTGGTGAGTGATTAGGCACACGGCATAAAAGAGAGGAAATGACTCAGGGATGACACCCTCCGTGCCAGAATGGGTGCCATAGCCCCAAGGGGAATCACAGCAATTCCATCCCCTTTGCCAGCGATAGGGTTGGGCATGTGCAGGTGTTACAACGGCAGCCAAAGAGAGGTAATATCAAGTGTGCTGAGTGCTTCTGGGGAGTAAACACACGCATGCACGAGAGAGAACAGGCGGAAATGATCCTCTTGCTGCAGACAACAAACTGTCTTGAGATCGTAAACTAAAACCCAAGGCAATCAGAGAAGAGTCTAGCAGGAGTGTCTGAATCCACAGCCCTGAAACTGCCCTGCCTTGTGTTATCTGAAATAATAAGGGCACTGTGGTTAGGCCAGCTTTGGATGGCGTTTCGATGATCAGCATGCACAATCTCCCTAACACCAGGGTTTGCATTCATCCTGGCGCAACTGGTACCTGCCCAGCCCAGTGCCTGGAACACAAGGGCATTCAGCGACAATGCGCTCGACGAATCCCACGAAACCAAGGGAGAAAGCATTTCAGAGGAGAGTTAAATAATTCTCCGTATTTGTTTTAAATACACATCTACCTAGCAATTGATGATTAAATCATTCAAAAAAAAAAAAGACTAAAAATAACAACCAAAGGGACAAGTTAACACGTATGAGGCAGAAACAATGTTATGTGTTGCTCAAACCACTCCTTTATCCTCCGGCACCCCCAGCACACAGAAGATTACGTTTCAGCCGCGCTCACAATCAATGAGCAACAACTTGACTGAGTCTGGCAGACAGATCTACGCCGTTTCCGTGCCTGGCGGCCAAAACTCCTTCCTGTGGTCCTCAGGGCTATCCATCTTCCACATCTGCCATCCAGGTCCAGGGGATCCAGTGAGGACTCAGAGTCCCTTGCGGAGGCACATCCTCCGAAACAAAGAAGCCTGTATGGAAGTGATGAAGTTCCTCGCCCACTCACAGTGCCCTACGACAGGAGCCGGGAGCCATGCCTGTGTGATGCCACTGACCCATGGGGCTGTTTGTCACAGAAATTAGCCTACTGACTAACAGAACACAGCCATAATACAACCAGGCATGGGGGGATGGGGGCACCGCATTCTGACTGTAATTATTGTTGTCGTGGGGTGCCATCGAGTCAATTCCGACTCATAGTGACCCTATAGCACAGAGTAAAACAGCCCTATAGGGTTTCATAGGCTATATTCTTTACAGAAGCAGATCACAAGGTCTTTTCTTCCACAGAGCCACTGGTGGGCTCGAACCACCGACCTTTCGGGTTAGCAGCTGAGTGCTTAACCCCTGAGCCACTAGGGCTCCTTGTAACTGTAATTAATGCCACTGAATTGCACACTTAAACATAGCTGCTGTTGTTAGTTGCCCTCAAGCTGATTCTGACTCATGGCGACCCCACACACGCGCGTGCGCGCGCGCGCGCACACACACACACATTTTGCCATTTTAAAAATGACAATATATAGACATATAAAAACTAAAACCAGAAAACCAAACCTGTTGCCATCGAGTCGATTCCAACTCATAACAACCCTACAGGACAGAGGAGAACTGCCCCATAGGGTTTCCAAGGAGCAGCGGGTGGATTCGAATCGCCAACCTTTTGGTTAGCAGCCTAAGCTCTTAATCACTTCACCACCAGGGCCCCACATATACATATATAAGTGTGTATGTGTGTGTGTGTGTGTGTGTGTGTGTGTGTGTGTGTGTATAAGTGTGTATATGTATGTGTATATGTATGTGTGTGTGTGTGTGTGTGTGTGTGTGTGTATGCATATGGGGTCGTGTGTGTGTGTGTGTATGCATACGGGGTCACCATGAGTCAGAATCAACTTGAGAGCAACAAACAACAACCATTTTTAAGTGTGCAGTTCATACATATATACATATATGTGTGTATATGTATACGTGTGTGTGTGTATGTGTGTGTGTGTATAAAATCATGGAGAGGAGTTCCTGGTTGGTACAAATGGTTAACAAGCTCAGCTGCTAACTGAAAAGTGAAGGGTTCAAGTTCACCCAGAGGCATATTGGAAGAAAGGCCTGGAGATCTACTTCCAAAAAATTAGCCACTGAAAACCCTATGGAGCACAGTTCTGTTCTGACACGCGTGCAGTCACTATGAGTCAGAATCAATGCAAGGACAACTGTTTTTTTATTTCCTAATCATGATAAGACACCTGTTCAAACCCTACAGCGAAGACTTAGTCAAGGAGAAGAGACCCCAGGATTCTCACTGTCATTATCCCGTCATGGATATCAACCTATGTCAATATCCAGTCCTACTTTTTCTCACTGTTATCATATTTTCCTCAAGCATATTTTTTAAAATGTAAGTAAAACCTGAGATAAAAGCAAAAATAAAATTTGTACAGTGTTCTACAATAATTGCCTTCCAACTTGGCTATGTATTAGAATCACCTAATATATTCCTAACATATCATATCATATGGTCTACTATGCCAGGAATGACAGTTGAAGAGGAATGGCATCACATTCATTGTAAAAAAGAACATTTCAAGATCTCTCCTGAAGTACAACACTGTCAGTGATAACATAAAATCCAAATGCCTAGAAGGAAGACCAGTTAATACAACTATTATTCAAATGTACACATCAACCACTAATGCCAAAGATGAAGAAATTTAAGATTTTTGCCAACATCTGCAATCTCAAATTGATCAAACATGCACTCAAGATGCATTGATAACT